GATGATGATGATGATGATGATGATGATGATGATGATGATGACGAAGAAAACGAGGAAAACGCAAAAGACTTAAACAAAGCCCTGAAGAAAATCCTGAAGAAAGGTAAAGGTCCGGCAACAACCCAGGAGGCCGAAGAGGAACTCACGTGAGATCGAAGTGTGACCGGGCTTTGTTTTGCGCGAAAGAAAAAGCAATACTTCAGCGATATCCCGCAAAGTAAAGATGTATATACCACAGTAGTAGAGCGATTCAAAATTATTGAGATAACAATTGTAGATGAAACGTGGTTGTTCACTGACCGCTCACGGTTGAGCTGGGCCGTAAGGCGCAATACCTGCATGTGACAAATACTTTTCTCTCTTTCTTTCTTTTCTCTCCCGTCTCTCTTTCTTTCTATCTCCTTTTTTGTATCTATTTCCCTTGTTTTTTTTGTATACTTTTATTTTTTATTTTGCTCTCTCTTTTTCATAATATGTAATTTTGAAGTCTATATATTGTCATTTATTATGCGTTTATATACCTGTCGTATTCCTTTTGGCTATGAAAATCCTCTAAATATGTCTACCGAGTGCCTGCCCCCTTTAATAATCCATCGTCACTGGAGCTACGTATTTCCATAATAAACAAACAATTTGAAACATTCAATATTATCATGTACATATATGTTATGTTTGACTATTACTTATTAAAGCTTACCTTAATGCAAAAGATTTTTTATATCCAACGGATGATGATACAAGTGGATCAATGTTTCATAGATCAGTTCAAGGAATGTTGAAATCAATTTATAATTACAATGATGCTCTCCATGCTCGTTTTAAATTTTCAGTAAAATTGAACATTTATTTCTCCTATTATTTGATCCAACTTCTTAAATCATTCTTTTGCATTTTCTAAAAAAAATGGTTAAAAAGTTTAACATTTGCAAATATTCGATTATCAAGATTTACCATTCAATTTTACTGTGGAATAATTTATATGAATTCGTACGTAGCTCCAAATACGTTTCGAAATACGCACTTTTACCTAATAACATTGATTTCTTCAAAGCGAGCCGATGGTTCCTGTTATAGTAAGACAGCTGTCGTCTGCAGCGAGCTCCGAGTCGAAGAGAATCAGAGTAGCCTCCGTTTGCAATATTAAAAAAAAAAAAAAAACAAAAAAAAATAAAAAACAAAAAAAAGCGAGAAAACGAAGGGTGGGCTAAATTAAAAAATTAATATATAACACGTATATTTAAAAAACATTAACGCAAATACGTAAGAGACAACATTTGAACTTTAAAATGAATGTTGCGAGAGACACTGACTCCATTATTAAATTCAATGATTATATTTGATTTTTGTAAGATCAACAATTTAACAACCCGACCCTAACGTGCGATAATTACTTAGAAAAAATTATTAATATCGGTTTGGCAAAAATGGCTGCCCTGAAAGAGTCGTCGACTCGCCGCGAATTATATTTAAAAGAAAAAAAAAAAAACAATAATAATAAGAAAAAAATAAATAAAATTAAATTAAAAAGAAAGTTGTTTGTTACAAAAACATGCACGTTTGGCTTTTGCTACGCAATTGGAGTTGGAGTGAACGTATTCTCTGAATTTTTTCAGCAACAAAACAATCGCACGAGTCAAGCCTTTCGTTGCTCGTTTTCGTCTATCTCGCAACCCCTCTTTCTCTCTCTTTCTATCAATCTATCTATCTTTCGATCTATCTATCTCTCTATCTCTATCTTCACTGTTCTTACATGCTCACTTTCTGCACTTTTGTTTCAATCCAAATATTTACGTATAATCCCTTTTTTCAATCCACCCCAAATGTTCTATGATTCACTCCAATGTACCCTTATTTTCTTTCTATTCGTCTTATATGACTCGTGCGAGAAAAATATATTTAAAAAATAATAATAATAATAATAATATGATGATAATAATAATAATAATAATAATAATAATAATAATAATAATAATAATAATAATAACAACAACAACAATAAAAAGAGAGAAAGCAAAAAAGAAATTAGCCATAGTGTAGAGCCTTTTTTTCTTTTTCACTCATATAAGATTCTCATTCTCTTTGTATCTGACTCGATGTTGTATTTGCTTACTGCAGGCGACGGCTGTTTCTACATCGGAATGGGAGGTAAAAGCGCGAAACCCAAGATTCCCTCCTATGAGCCCTACCAGTGCTGTCCTGCGAAGGTTGCTCGCGGCACTAAACTCGCCAAGGCCACGAAAGTCAGCCCTGTTATCAAGGAAAAGGATAGACTTCATGGTAACGTCAGAAGCAGGTTTAGTAAAACGGAAACTTCGGCATTGAAGCCTATTAACAAGCTAACTGCTAAGGAGAGCAGAAAGATGGCCACGACGAGTTCGACGATCAAGAGTACTGGTTCAACTACCGAAGTCAAGCAAACCCAGTCAAAGGCGAAAAGAGGATTTTTCGGAACCGGTAAATAATTCTATTGGCACACAGCTCTCTAGTAGATGATTAAATCGTTGTCCAAATGCATCACCGGATCTTTAACAAAAACGGTGGATATCAAACCATTATCAGAACTATCTCTCATGAGTATATATATACATGTATGTAATTATATACGTCAAGAATCTTTACCAACATTCGTTTATTGCGATGGACAGTGATTTAATAAATACCAAGACGTAGAATCGTGGTCGTAGAGGTATCGAAGAAAATTTGATTATGGAACACAGCCATTCGCATGCGACAAAATGAGGCTAAAACATGGAATGAACAAATATAAATATATAGGCAATAAAGATGATATTAGAAAAGAAATAAAAAGAATTCGAAACGGTGTAAGCTGACGTTTGGTCTTCGTATCTCGGATACAGGTGCCTCGCGGATCTTGCATCGTGTCTGAAGGGAATCGAACCAAGTCCAAGTGCTAGATGAACATCTACGGCTCATGAAACACGCATACATACTTACTGTGGACGACGATGGCTGTTTCCTCCGAGTTCTCATCCGGGATATTTCAAATAATACATATTACATATTAACTCGCGAAAGAGCAATTATTCATTTTCCTTTTCTTTCGTCTATCATGTAAGTCCTATCAGAAAATAACTCAGTTAAAATTCGAAATAATTGATCTTACAATTAGTGGATCTAAAAGGTAATGATACAAAATAAATAAGAAAGAAAGAGAGAGAGAAAAAGAAAGAGGGAGAGAGAGAGAGAGAGACAGACAGAGAGACAGAGACAGAGAAAAATAGATCTGCCTCGATCAGTTGCGTCTCGCCGTGTCCAAAATTTTTGTTTGTACATTCTGTAAAGTAAATAAGAGAGAGAGAGAAAAAAATTAAAATAAGAAGATATTCTATATGAACGTTTATTTATTATATTAAGACTTCTGCTACCACTTTTCTTTGTCTTATAAATGTGTATGTATGTGTATCCTCGATATTACTAAACATTAAATACACGGCCAACTGAAAATGACCAGCGTTGGAAAGAAATTATTGAATGAAACAAAACAAAAAAATTATTAAAAAAAAAAATACTAAAATGTGAGTTTATACGGACACTTGAGATAGTTATTTTTTCATCTCTGAATAACAAACAAATATGAGAGTTAGCTCGGTATTATCGGCTGTTACAGTTGTAGCCGGTCTTCCATACCTAATGAAGGTTTAAGGAGAGGAACTATAACTGAAAGAAACCTGACAGAAAGATAAAAATAAAGAGAGAAAAAGAGAGAGAGAGAGAGAGAGAGATCGAGGGACCGAGGCTTAAGACAAAACGTAATCGTGTAACTAATAGGAAGGCAAGGAAGATTCCATATCCAGTGGAGTATCAGACGTCTCGTCTATATTATAAAGGGAGGAAAGATTAAACGACACAATGTATAAGAAGAAAAATTTGTAAAAATTTCAAGGGATAGCACATTTGAAGAGTGCTTTTTATGAATCATGCATACATATATTCGGACAACCATTCTTCGTTAAAATCTCCTTCATCGTCTCGTCATCATCTTCGAATATATAAAACGATCATATATAATAATTATCTCTTATAATAATTATAAAAACATATATTACATTGGCTGATCGCATCGTTATTTCACACACACACACACACACACACATTTCCTTTTTCTTTCTTGGTGGATCAATGTATCGAAATATCATTTATGCATTCAATTCCCTTTTTCTTCGCTATTATTTTATTATTAATTATTGTTGATTATTTAAAATGTTTATTCGTTGTTATTACTTTCGAATTAATTAGAGTGATGATATTCTCTTCAATAGCGTCTCTCGGTTTTCCTTTTATTTTCTCACTAATTTTAGGATATATCTATATATTATATATATATACCTGCGTTCCTTCGCAATCATTAACATCACATCGATTTCTGTATATATGTATATATTACTGTGTATATATCTATATATATATATATATATATATATGAAATCGAATTTGTTGCATTTCATCGGTAATATACTCAAGAAAAATGCCTAAGAGATATTATAGAAATATTAATGATCAAAAAAATATAGAGAACAATTTTAGAAATTTTGTCAATACATTTTATACTAATTTAATTATTTACTTACTTACAATTAGAACAATTTTTTTTTTCGGTGTGCAATTTAGATTTATCTCGCAATTATTGTTTTAGCGACTCGGTTTTCTTTCTTTTTTTTATAAAAGAAAAAAAGAAAGAAACGAAAACGACTGCGTTACTTGGATCTCAAACGAATTATAAAGCTTAAAAAAAGGCTGCCGTTTTCTCGCGTACGTAATTCTATCATGAATTATAAATATCATATTGTGTTTTTTTTTTTTTTTCAATTTCTTCAGTTTGTCATTTTATTTTCAAAAATAATTACCCCATAATTTATAATAATTATTATAACACACATAAACTCATTGTAATATCTTTTTTTTAATCTTATTTTCACTCCTCCAACATTATGATAGGTTTATTTTCGCGTTTAAATTTAAATTTAACACTTTCTCTTGTTTGCAATCGATAATACTCATTAATGAACTTTAAAATAAATTTAAAAAAATAAATAATATGTATTTTTACGATCGGTGCACGTTATTGTACAAAAAAACTGCGTGCTGATCATAATGATCTTTTTTTTGGCTCTCTGTATAGAACATCACCAATCTAAGCTCATAGATCTAATCTCGTACAAATAAATGATCTTGAAAAAGTATTAACTCTTTATCTAGCGTCAAACTGATCACTAACGTGTTTCTGCTTATCGGATTGCACGCGCCAATATTATAGGTAAAGTGTCAAATATATAAACATCGTATATTATCGATTAACCTAATACCAGAATTAACAATACACACAAATATACATATATTTAGAAAGATATGAACAAAAAACTGGAGATTTGTACTTATAAATTTATATTCGTGTATGTATCATTTTTCAAAAAGATAAAAATAAAAATAAATTAGAACTAAAAATGATAACAATAATAAATAACATTTAAAATGACAAGAAAAATTGATTATACAAGAAAGTAATTAATTTATAATTAAAATATATATAGAAGAGAGAGCACAATAAATGATTATCTGTTGCACGCACATCTAAATGATTAATTATATTGAAAAGTTTCGACGTTAAATAAATTCGAGAAAAAAACGATTTAATATGTAATACTCTTTCCGTAAATGACACTTGTGCACTAACCGATAAAACAACATATTAAAAAATTAAAAAATAAAGAAAACTACCACCGTTGATTTGAACAAAATCGATATGTACAACAATAAACACATTATTATACGATAATAAATGAGTTTCTCTTTTGGTTTATCAATTAACATTCTTAACTCATAACTGTTATGATGGAAATTTAAAATAAACAAATAAAAATATATTTTACAAAATACAAAAAGTAATAATCTATTATAAATATCAAACTCTCTAGATATAAAAGAAAATAAATTATCTAACTTAAGTTTACCAGTTATGAGTTAAAAATCTTGCTTCATCCATGTTAATTATAGATCATAGTTATGAAAAACGCATTGAATTTTTGTTATATCTTCGCATGTTACACAAATCACTTACTCAATGATTCCCTATTTAATTGTCTTTATCAATTCGATATTTATTGCTCCAAATAATGAAATCAATACATTATTGTGTTTATACTCATTTTCAACAGTATTAGTTACATTGTGATATTAATTATTTAAAAACTTCAATAATTCGAATAGCCATTTCAGATTAAACGAAATAAAAGTTATATTATGGAGTCGAACTTTTGTTCTTTAAATAATTCATAAGATTCAATATGTTAAAACTATTTCGAATTGTTTTTCCTACTTAATTCTTATTAAGTATGTACATATATATATATATAAGTATAAGTATATATGTGTATTATTCGAAATGAAAAAAAAAGTGTGCAAGCAGAAACAACTTCGTTCGTAGGACTCTTTTCTCGACTTCTGCAAATAGTTGATAAAAAGGAATAAAAGAATGAGAGAAATTGCGGTAAGTAAAGGAATTAACACAGATTGGAATGTTCTTCAATATCTCAGGTAATCTTCTCGATGAAGCTGAAGTTCTCGATTGGATGGTGAAACAGAAAACCGATGAGAGCATAGAGGAGATTGATCGAGAAACTCTAATGAAGTATATTGATACGAAGGAATTTCTCGCAGTTATATTTTGTAAGAAAGTATTCCTATATCCATTATTTATCAGCTTGGCCAATAAGTATCATGATATTTAAATAAACAACATTCACAAAGAAGTGACAAAAATGAATGATAATAAGAATATTTAAATAAACATTTTATATAGAGGGTGTTTTAAAACGAGTGGTGATTCTAAAGTAAGAGATCCTGTTTTCGATAAAATTATGTTTATTTATCTTATTACTTATTGACCAATATAATATATTTTCTCGAAAATTTAATTAAAATTTGTTCAAATATTAACCCAAAAAAATCTCTTTCCTAAAACTAAGAATTGTTTGTCCATATCGAAAATAATTTGAAAAGCAACTTACTTGAAAAATATCTTCTCTTATTTAATTTAATCGTCGACCATGTGAACGTCGTTGAAACAATAAATACATTTTCGAGTGGCTTTGATCTCAAAAATATTATTCACAGACAAAGAAGAAGATCCAGAAAGTCCTCGAGTACTCAGACACATTGAGTTGATTGATGACGAAGCTGCAGAGTATGGAATTAAAATAGTTCGTATGAAGGATCGTTTAATGGCCAAAAAATATGGTTATAGAAACCCACCTGGTATAACTTATTTCCGAAAAGGCAAAAGTACTAATTACGATGGTGATATCGATGACGAGGAAGAGATCCTTGATTGGTTGACCGACCCTGATAATATGGAATTAACGGATCACATTGAACGAATAAACAAGAAGATGTTTTATAAAATACGTCAATCTACAGATTACTTAGCTGTATTTTTTTGTGAGTAAATATTTTCAACTATTCAAATTAAATATTAATCCTTAACACACGGTCACGCTAATGTTATAAAAAAAGAAAGGCTACTAAGTAAAGATATTTTTTATTGCTTTCTCTAAATTAACACAATATTTTGTAGTTTTCTTGTACATGACTCGACTTAATATATGAGTAATTGAGGAGAAATTTTGCAAACTTAGTTTTTTTATTTATGTATATAAACAAATAAATTAAATATAAATTACGTCCTAAAAATTTGATCACTATATATGCATGTTTAGACAGCAACGATTGTAAACAATGTAGTAGAGTTCTGGCAGAAATCGAGCATATCGACGACGAAGCTGATAATGCTGGAATCAAATTTGTAAAGATTGACGACAAGGAACTCGCTAAACATTACGGAGTATTTGCGTTACCAGGGATTCTTTTCTTCAAAATGACATCGAAAGAACCGGTGATATTTGCTGGTAAGAATTCATTAAAAACACAATAACTAGTAACAAGCATTTGACGAATTAAACGAATCCGTTAGAAACAGAAAACGATCGTCGTACGCTATCTTCAAATTTTTAATTTTCAAAAAGTGCGGTATTTTTTAAATCAAATTATTCATACTTCAATATCAATGATAATTTTAGATATAATAACTACATTATTTATACTTGTTAATTTTTTATTACTCGTATGCCATTGAAGGTGATCTATATGACGAAGAACAAATTTTGCAATGGTTAATGACGCAAAAGGATCCATCAGGAGAGGCAATCGAAGCTTTGGATGGAGAAGAACTTCTCAATTTAATTCGAGAATCCGAGTCCTTGGCAGTATATTTCTGTAAGTTTTTAAATATTTATATTTTAATTACACAAAATCGAGAGAGAGAGAGAGAGAGAGAGAGGGAGAGAGAGAGAGAAATACCTTCTCTTAATGTTTCTTCCGTACGATCTAATTAAAATAGAAAATTTTGCGCATGCGTCGGAAACGCTGGTAATTGATTGGTTGATCGAAGCGCCAGTTATTAATTCTTAAAGGATCTATAAAAAACGCGAAAATTTATTTCATTTAAGTATAGTCTTTTTATATATATATAGTATATTAAACTACGGCTTTTGTTAAAAACCTTGCAATTGCAAAAGTAATTAAATTACAAGGAAATAAACGAGCATATAAACACATGTACCCGCACATACACACGCATTCATAATTAAATCGCTTTTTATCAACTAAATTCTGTCTATAATTACACTAATAATATTATTACATATTACATATTTCATGTGACTAACGCTCTCAAATCAATCACAACTGCTATTATTTATTATAAATTTCTCTGTTCTCTATGTGTACACTTGTAAAAAAGTAATTTTAAATACAACTAATTGATCGAACCTTTGGTTCATCTATTGATTCAAAGTACACTATCGAAAAATTGAAGAAAATACTCTTAAACAGAAAACATCATGAAATTTTAGATATCTGACCGATTAATGTATCAAAAAGATATTACTTATGTACATACAGGGTGAGGCATCTAACTCGATCACCTCGAATAACTTCAAAATTATATATTGTACAACAAATTATTCTTATAGAGGTTAGAGGGACATCATGCGTTATATATATAACTTTTTTATAAGTGGAAGCGTGTAGGAGATTTGAAGGTCAATTTTGTTTTTGTTAAATGGAATATCCTACTTTTTTTCGGCAATTTGAAAGAGCATTCATTTCTAAGTAAAAAAGTACAATGCAATGCATCGTAGAAAGATCTTTTTTATGTTTAAATAATTTCCTTTTCCTTAGATGATATACTCAACGAATGAAACATTCACTTGATCTAAATTACTTGTCCAAAAGTGGTGTACACGTGTATACTATAATGTCGTAGGGAACAGAACGCTTTGCGACATGTGTCAAGCAAAAATGCATCGTAAGCAGACACGGCACAGGGAGCACAGGATCAACGAACATGAGACAACCGAGGATGTTGACGGTACAAATAAAAAAAACCACCAAGAAACCAACAACAAAATTTAGAGAACAATTAATGATCATGATTATTGTTGTCATTGTATCTTCACTTAATTATGCGAAGATACATAATATCATGCATACGTACAACTACAACAACAACAACAACAGACAACACACACGTACAATTGATACGTGCATTTAGTCAACTAATTACACTTTATAGAAACTTCCATGACCCTTAAAAATAAATACAAACTTGAAATTTTTTATTGCAAAAAAATAATTAAAACTACTCCGTTATATCTCCGTTTGTCCAACAATTTTTCAAGAATATTTTCAATCCAATTTTCTGTAGATATTTTACATACATGACACTGTTTATATATAGGTGCACGAGCATTCGAGCATGCGAGTTACGTCCAAATGGTAATAGTAGTGTCCCACCCCTGCAGAATCCATTGTGAATAGTGTGCCCAAAAAATATTTTTATTTACCATTTATGTATCTTTCTGCACGGTAGACATAATTTCGCTCTTAAATAGCATGCTCAATCGCAACCAACGTCACAAATATAATCCATTTCTTTTTTTATTTTTCATTTGTTATAATAAAAATAAAATATAATCATTTACTCGAAATATATTAACCTTCCATTTATATCACAAATATGTTTCAATGATTTCATTCTTATAGACATCGACAATTGTGAACAATGTATGGGAATCCTAGAAGAATTAGAAAATATAGACGACGATTGCGACAGACATGGTATTACTTTTATAAAGACACAGGTAAATATGTGTATGATATTTACATACTGTTACTTACAATATACTGCTTAACAAAATTGTATCTAAACGTAAAATCACAGATCTGTTCACTTGTAGGATCACAAAGTAGCTGAGGATTACGGCGTTACTGATTTTCCAGTCCTTGTTTATTTTGAAAATCAAATACCCAATGTATTCGAAGGTTTGTATTATGTTCTTCTTAAGAGTTTTCTCTATGCATTTAATTTCAGACTTTCTAATGTTTTTATTATAGGTGACTTGTCCGTAGAAGAGGAAGTATTGCAATGGCTGATCACACAAAAAACTGAAGATCGTGTTGAATTGATAACTCGAATAATGTTGGAAGCCTTTGTTGAAGAAACACAGTATCTTGCTGTTTATTTCTGTAAGATTTTCTTTGAACTTGCAGCTAAACATTTAGGCCAGTCAATAAGAGGCAAATAAGAACTTTTTGGACTAAGCAATTACAATTTGATAAAATGGTAATATTTTTGCAAATATGAAGATACTACACCTTACAACATTTTTATGTATTTTTCAATTGTCTACAACTTTTGTTTGAAACTTTTTTCGATTAAATGCCTAGATTCTAAGATACGGTCATTTTTTACCCTTTTTTACCCTTTTTCTCATAAATAACACGTCGGAGTGCAAAAAAATTAGCTCCATTTGATTCAGCGTCGTCGAATTATCATTGTATCAAATTGTATTTATTTTAGCCGAAAAAGTTCTTATTTGCCTCTTATTGACTGGCCGAATTCAACGATAAAACAAAAGATATTTTCCTATCTATTTCAGATAAACAAAACTGTCACATATGCGACGAAATATTAGAAGGTTTAGAAAGAGTCGACGATGAATGTGACGTCTTTGGTATACACTTGGTCAAAATTCAAGATCCACAGCTAGCGAAAAGATATTCCATTAAAACTTTTCCTGCTCTTGTTTATTTTCGTAATGGCAATCCTCTTTTGTTCGAAGGTCTCTCTCTCTCTCTCTCTCTCTCTCTCTTTGACAATTACTTTACTTCATCGTATTTAATAAAATGGTAAAGTTAAATATAAATTCTCATATATTTTAGGTGATCTGCAAAATGAAGAGTCAGTCCTGGAATGGTTAATCGATGATGATAATCGAGAATTGGCCGATGAGATTGAATCTGTTAACGAAAGGATGTTGGAGAGACTTCTGGATGAGTCGCCATTTTTAGCTGTCTTCTTTTGTGAGTGATTAACAAGGACCTGTAAAATGTTACAATAAAATTATTACAAAAGTTTGTGTGAAATATAAAATGAAGTATATAAAATATAAAATTAAAAAGGAAATATTTAAAATAATAATCAATCACATAAAATAATAAAATTAAATAATATTTCATATACCTTGATGATTACAATAGATGACGAAGATTGTGCAGAATGTGACGAAATAATGGAATCATTGGAGAAGATTGATGGCGAAGCTGATCTTTTTGGCATAGATTTTGTAAAAATATCGAGTACCGAAACTGCGGAAAAATATAACATTTTGAATATACCTTCTTTGGTATATTTTCGTAAAAGAACCCCTCTTATTTACGACGGTGATCTTACTCAAGAAGACAAAATTTTACAATGGCTTACTTCTCAAGACGTTTTTGAGATAAAAAATGAAATCGAAGAAGTAAACAAAAAGATGCTCGACAAGTTGCTAGATGAAAATGAATTTCTGGCTGTCTTCTTTTGTAAGTAATTAATTTCTGAAAAATATATTTATATTAACTAAACAACGATTGATTTTTATCCTTAGATGAATATAACAATACAGAAAGCGAAGAAGTTCATGAAAAATTAGAAACGATCGACGGAGAAACGGACAATTTAGATATAACATTCGTAAAAATGGCAGATCCAAGGTACGCTCGAAAATGGGGTGTTACTAAGCTTCCGGCTATCGTTTACTTCCGTAAACGTTTTCCCAGCATTTACCGAGGTATTATAAATAAATGAAAAAACTATTTACCTATTAAATGTTGCATATATAATCTTTTATATATATATATATATATATATACTTTTAATTTAAAGGTGACCTTCACAAAGAAGACGAAGTTCTAGAATGGCTTCGTAAAAACAGATATCGTCAACCAGAATTGAACATCTACATGTATATCCTGATAGCCACTACACTGGTCTTTGGAATGTACACTGGTTTCCTCCTTGTATGTTTCCGATCAGAACCATCGACTTCAACGCCTCATCCAAAGCAAGCTTGAAAAATGTATCTCGTTGATACCTGAAAAGAATTTACAAAAAAATGATTAAGCCGACGAGTAAAAACAATAAGTAAGAAGAGATCATTTAGAAAGCGTTTAGGGGAGAAAGAGAGAGAGAGAAAGAAAATAAATGAATGAGAGAGCGAATGAATAAACAAATGTAAGAATGATACAAACTTGTAAAACCTATAATGAACGAATTTGTGAATGTATGAATTGATATGTTGAATGATGAATGCTCACTTTTTCTTCCAAATCAAAACGTTCAATTTCTCTCGACTCGATAATAACAAAAATACTAATATCATTAGAATAAGATCGATGCTCTCTCCATGTTCCGGTGATATCGATTATAGTTTCACCGATGTATTTGCCCTGCTAAGAATTTCCATCTAATAATGAATGCATCTCAATCATTGATATAGCATATAAGAAAAGCATTATGAATTATTTTGTAGATTGTTCAGTACAGATAACGTAATGTACATTTAACGTAAAAAACGAGACCTTTCCAAGAAAATTAAATAATGTGGACCACTGGAACATTCCTAAGAAAAGAAAAAACAAGAATGAATAATACAATTGAGCTGGTGATTATACAAATTTTCTAATCCAATGAAGATTTTAAAAGGCATATTTTGTCTCGCGTGCTAACTTAAAATGTTAATATTACATAAAATAATGCTTCAAAAATACTTCCTTTTTTTCGTTAGGTCGTTTGGTTTGAGAAAAATAATTTTAAAATTATTCAAACCTGCAAATGAGTAAAGATATTTCACAACGAAAAATATGACTTACAAATAGACTATGTTCATAATCACCAGACCTCAATTATGCTTTTGCGTACTTACAATTTTTTTTTACTTACTCTAACATTTGATGAAAAAATTCTTTGAATTTATTTTATTTGTGTTTTGTTAATTTACTTAACTATTAAACATGCTCTGCAAGAATATTTGTTATAATCAGACTCCGTTATTTTATTGTTACAGAGAAAATTTTTGGCAGGGTATATATGTGGACCAAATGTATCGTATCTTGAACACGGTTTAGACCTTTAAACAAAGATCATAGTATAAGAACAAAGCAAAAAATGGTTATTTATTTATCGATGTAAACGAGAGTATAAGGACAAAAAAGATGAATATGCGTGCGCGTTAAATAAAGATTATCCTTTTGTTTCGTTTAACTGTATAACAGAGCTACAGGAATACAGGGTTTGCATGAAGTACGGTAATTCTTCCAAATGTCCACGTTGCACAAAGACTATATATGTATATTGCTTTGAAGAGAAACTAACAAAGTTTCTTCTTTTTTCATATTTGCATAATGCTGTTCATGCAACCCAGATTGCACAGATGCACTAAGCGCTGGATCGGTTGGCAATCTAGGTTAAAGTCGTCTGATTTAATTCTGCGTAATTTCTTCTTACGGATATGTTTAGGGAACGGTATGGCAAAGTAGTTGGATAACCATGTGAATATCAGCTATATTACACGCGATTCCTGCACCGAATCTTTATAATGTGATGTGATGTGATACGATATAATGTGCTACAAATTTTGCAAGTTTATCTTCTAAATGATATCGTGTGAAATCGTTGTGCAATGGACCATTTAAAGTATTACCGAACTTAAGGCCTTATATACGTCTAGCAGCGCCAAATATGCCTTAAAAGAAAAAAATTTTTTAGCAGGGATAACAATAGAAATTAATAAAAATAATTAGTGCACATTGTTTATTGGTATTTAAACTTTATAAAAAATTTTATTTCTCTTTATTTTTACAAAAATTACTATATAAAAAATCACGTGATCCATAACACTAAAAAGAAAAGTTGCTCCATGATCTGCATCATATCTCTAGTAAATGTCAATCGAATCGATTTGCAAAATTTTAGAAAATTCTTATAAAATAAAGTTATCCTTATAGTCTGTCGAGCCGGAATTAAGTAATAATTCTGGACGTATGTAAGGCCTAAACGTAAACCATATTATATGTAATATTAAAAGTTGGATTTTTGCTTAAATTGACAATACATAATAGTGGTACATGTACGAGAGATTCAAAGAGAAAAGAAAGTATTGAAAGAAGAAAAATTGACGTTAGACGAGGAAAGAGAGCTTTACACCTCGAGAATTGACCTCGTTCTTTTTAGAAAATCGCCGATTTTCTGCATCTTTATTTAGTAAGATTTTTATTTTACGAATATTCGCTCCCAATAAAAACAATCGAATTCCTCTTTCTAATTAATGAACAAAAGAAAAAAAAAACGGAAGAGGAATTTACAAGAGAAATTTTAACTCCGGAGCAAATTCCGCTTTTTTTTTTTGACATTATTTATTTTAAGGAATGTTTATCATCAATATGTGACACACACACACACACTTCTGCGTATTTAAATAATTATTTATATTAATTATAATTTCGAGATAGCTAGGAATTATTATGACGCACTTCATTCTACCGCTTATGTTATCTTTCGAGAAGGCTTATCGAATTTAACGATCTAATTGTTAATAATCTTTTAATCAAATATATTGTGTCCACAGATATTATGTGCGATCGCAAAAAAACGTCCAAAACTTATCCAACGAATTTACAAGATGTTAGCGTAAGCTAAACGAATAAGAAATACTTGTATTTTTACAAGTACTAAATTGTTTAAATATTTTTAGTCAATCGTTAACGTTATTCAAACGTCCGTCAGTTTTTATATGAATTATATCTAAACAATTTGGTGACTTTGTTACGCTAACTAATTAATTGTAAATAATCGTTTATCATTGATAATTCTCCTCGGTGGAGGTAAGGAAGAGATACCAGAAAAATATAAAAAAAAAACACAAAAAGAAAGTTAAAAAATTAAATATTAAATACCTAACAGTAACCAGCGCCTATCTTCTTGTCGAAAGGACCGATGTTACCACAGCTTGAAAGGAAAACAAATGATCAGAAAAAAACAAATAAAGAACGGACCCTGTTGGACCAATTTTTAGACAAATTAAATAAAATATTCGCTTATCAAAAGATTTATTCTTAAACGGATCTATATAGATAGAAAAATAAATACTCTAATAATAAAATAAATATATATATAATTTTTTGTAACATATATAAGAGAAAATCTATTGAAATAAAAAAAATAATTTTGTTAAAATAGATTCGTGCCCCGANATTATATAATAACTATTATTATGTGAAAATCATATCGATATATAATTATTTTTAAAAATTCATAAATATATATTATTCAAATCTTTTATAACAATATTAATATTGGGTTACAAGGCTAACAGATTCAATAGATTCTTGTTTACTGTCATGTTCGACAAAGTAAATTTCTGTTTCACCGAAAATTGACAAGGTAGATTTCCTTGATATCATAATATTTACACCTGGAGAGTTAGTAAATTAATAATAATCATTCTAATTTAGGTAATAAGATGAAATACATATTAAAAAAGATAGTATTAAAAATAATAAATGATAAAATAACCTTTTATTATTTGAAAGAAATGAACGTATTCATCAGATGAAAGATTTAGCAGGATCGGCAGGAGAACGAAAAGGATTATGACAGTATAGCATAAAGAGTTCTTACACAAATCAATAAGTGTTCTTTATGGTGGTCGTCAAATAAAAAATAAAAGCTAAATCATAAAAAATTTGATAAAAACAATAGATTAAACAAACGTAATAAAGATTTACCATTGATACTACGAAATATTATATTTTACATTATATCTCTTTACTATATAATTTATATTTTTTACTTCGATTGAATGTTTATCCACTTTTATTATAACATAGTTTCGCGTTTATTATTTCTTTTTTTATTTAACGCAATTGTATCTTAAGTAATACATACGTTAGTAAAATTACATTTCTCTCTTTCCTTCTTTTTTCTAATTTTTCTTCTGCTTTCTAGAAAATACTAAACTCTTAAATCAAAAGCCAAAGTGGGTTTTGGACAACCATTTAAAAATATTCTTAATTAATCAGCGTCGGAGAAAACCTCTCCATTTTGCAATTATTCTTCTTAATATTTTTTTCATGAAATGATATAAATATGGGAAATTCCAGATAGCAAGATAAAATATTTTCATAGACAATATTTCTTTCAATATATATATATATATATATATATATATATCTATTTCCTTTATCCGAATCATTAATTAACTTTATTTACTGTTACGATTATTATTTAAGTGATACTTTTATCGACTATTTAAGTCTTGAAATGCCAATTTCAAGTATTTAAAAACAGACTAGCAAACCCTTTACCTTCGGACCTTTATTGAAAAACTACTGTTTTTCTATGACGCAGAAATATATTTTTTATTGTCTTGGAGCATGACACACGTTACTAGTTACGGTCTGTTCCTGCCGCAATTAAATATAACTAAAATATATATAATATTTCAAATGCAAGAAAGAAACAATAATATAAAAAATATGATAATTTTAAAATAAATAAATATAGTATATAAACATTTTTAACAGTAAATTTTATATATTAAATGCATCATTATTTTTATATTACTGTTATGAAATCTTAAATTTATTTACACCATCCAAATGAATCAAATTTCAAATATTTTTTAAAAATTTTAATAATAATAAAAAAAAAAAACAAGATTCTTGCAGAATAGAGCAGCCATATCTGGTTACTTGCGTCATGTTATCTAAGGGATATATCTTTACTTATCAAAATGTACGATGACAAAGTGAATAAACATAAATATTCACTAATGATTTACGCGAAGAAAAAACACAATTTTTATACATGCCTTGTGTGAATATACACAAATACCATTAAGGCATGTATGCAAAAAATGATCTACTAGTATCACTTCTATATAAGTCGATCACTTAATCATGATATATTGAAATATTCGTTGAAAAACTTATGAATTATTAAAAACAAATCATATACTTAATGTCGGTTATAATAAAACCGGACTCTACGAGATAACTGTTGTAAAATATACGAGACACACAACCAACTTGAATACTTCCAAATTTAAAAGAAGTGCATACATTTTTTTCCAAAATTGTTATTACGCAGATCGATCATTAATAGAATTACCTACTTGATTTGATGAATCATCAATGTTATTATTACTATTATTATTATTATTATTATTATTGACGGTACATAATCACTTTTTATATGGGATGGGTAAGAAGTTCTAAAAGGATATCTTAAAAATTAAGAGATTTTGTAGACTCGTAATTAGAGCTATGGTTTACAAGATAAACTTACAAGATAAACTTGTAATCTCCTAATCTGACTATAAAATAATTAGCATAAATGTCAAAAAAGCAATTAATTTTTAAAATTTCCTAGAAACTTAAGGCCCGCCTTGTATTCTCTTTTGTTAGCTAACCCATTCTTATGTTATAAAAAAAAAAACTACTCTATGCAAGGCTCAAGAAATACTGCATATTGCTGCTGCTTCTGCTGTTGTATTATTCTACTGGATTATTCTCTCTCTAATCAATACATTAACTTGATTGATCACATTAGTCAATATATTCGAGAAATATATAATTATAACAATATAAAACATATTACCCCAATAAAATAACAACCATCGATCATCAGCAGTCAAAGTTATAAGTAAATAATAATCATCGAACTGCGAGTGATATTATAAATTATCTTACGTATGTACTTCTACCATTTACATTATTTTCATACTAACATCATACTATCATTCGATTAAAGATATTATCACGAATGATAAAATAGATACACATGTTTTTACTTCTTTTTAACTTCATAATATTAAATCACATAACGTGACAGAATTTACATACATTTTTTCTTTATAGAAAGAATGAGACTATTTTGGCCCAAAATAATTAGTTAATTATTATTGGAACTTCAATCTTGCTATTAATAATTAATAAGAACGTATCGTTTCGAACATGTACGTTACCGTCTCTCTTCCTATTGTTTTTCATAATCCTGCTATATAATTTCTTTCCTGTCTTATTCCGACAATTTCTTTTTAATTATCTCAATATAATATAATGTGTGTTGATATATCTACATATTCATTCTTGATTCTATTATTTGATAATAATCTGCTCTCAATGTGGAAAAAATATTTCATGATAAAAAAAAGTAAGCCAAAAAATCAGTAAATAGTTTTAAATCGAAAGATGAACATTTTCTGATGTAAGAAAAAGATCATTTAGCCTTGTTAATATGCTTTCGAATGAAGTTACTCATTAATATTCAACTTAAATATCTCCTTTTGTGATATTCTGATATTTCCTGCTCTTTATATTTTCACTAGCTTCCTAGCTATGCTAAAATACTTGAAAAAACCAACTTGTATTTCCTCTACATGGCAGACCACTCCGCGCCGAACGATTTTCATTTATCGTTCGACAGCTTTCGATATGATTCCATGAAAATTTCTTTTATTTCTTTCCATCTACCCTCTTATACAACAACGCCAGTTATAACTCCGCCAGCTCCAGGAAGGCCAGTCGATCCCATTAAATCAGCATCTACTTCTCTTGCTGCTTGTCTTCCTTCTGTTATCGCCCAAACAACCAGAGATTGCCCTCGTCGGCAATCTAAATATCAAAATTATTATATATCCTCAAATTATATGTAAAGGTTCAAACAAAAGTATTATTATACGAACTATTTAGTCCGTGCCAATACTTTTTCCTAAGCTATATTATTAATATATTACTGTACATGTACTTTTTTCAATTGTACACATAAAATGTGTATTTACCTCCAGCTGCATAGATTCCAGGCAAACTAGTTTTGTATTTGCCTACGGAGGTTTCATAATTACCACGAGCATCCATTTTCGTTTGTAACTCATCAGCAATATATTTTTCTGGACCCAAGAATCCCATGGCAAGTAGAACTAAATCACACTTATAAACCTAACAGATACAATAAAACAAGATTACGCGCTATCCCATTGATCATTTTAATTGATTATCATCTTATTTACCTTTTCAGTTCCAGGAACTTCATCCATTTTCCATCGACCAGCAGAATCCTTCGTCCATTCTACAGTCACAGCTTTGATACCGCTCACATGCCCATTACCATTATCCAAAAATTCCTAATTTCAATATTATATTTATTTTTAATTAATATTCAAATATTCGTATAATATATTAATATAAATTGTTATTTACTTTGCTAAGAGTACTGAATTGACGAGGATCACGGCCAAATTTCAAAGCCACTTCTTCGTGACCGTAATCTACTTTAAATACTCGAGGGAATTGAGGCCAAGGATTATCTGAAGCTCGTTTTACAGGTGGTTCAGGTAAGATTTCAAAAGTAGTAATCGTCTTAGCACCCTATAATATTATAAAAAAAAAAAGATATGGAAACTGTTACTTGCCTTATCTTATCAGTTACTTATTATACTATTACAATATTAATTACACAATAAAAGTATTCAAAGCAATGTGATACCTGACGTAAAGACGTTGCAATGCAATCACAGCCGGTATCGCCACCACCTATTATGATAACATCTTTATCCTGAGCCATAAGTCGTAAATTCAGAGGAGTTTCATTGCCCATTTGCTTTTTTTGCCAATGTTCCAGGAAACTAACAGCAAAGTGAATTCCTTCGAGTTGTCTACCAGGAATTGGTAAATCTCTAGGCCAAGTTGCACCGGTGCAAAGCAATACTGCATCATACTGATTTTTTAATTCCTACAAAAAATATAATATATTTTTAAATAAATATCTTAATTCTTAATAAAATATATTATAATTAGAACTTTTTTATAAATTACAAAACAAATGTATTTACCTTAACAGTAATATCTTTTCCAACATTGACACCGGTCTTAAAAACTATACCTTCTGCTGCTAATAAAGCTACCCTTCTTTGTACAACTTGCTTGGATAATTTCATTGTAGGTATACCATACTGCAATAATCCTCCAATACGATCATTTCTTTCGTATACAGTTACTAAATGCGCAGCTTTATTTAACTGATGAGCAGCAGCCAAACCAGCTGGACCAGAACCTATTACTGCTATAGTATATCCAGTTCTTGCTGTAGGAGGATGTGGAAGAATCCATCCTTGTTCAAATGCATGATCAATTATTGCACATTCAATATTTTTTATAGTAACCGGAGGTTCCGATATACCAAGTACACAAGCTCCTTCACATGGTGCAGGACATACTCTTCCAGTGAATTCTATAATTCAATATAATTTAATTACGTGCATTTTATACTGATTTATATGATATTTGAGTAGCTTACCTGGAAAATTATTAGTTTGTAAGAGTTGATTAAGTGCTTCTTTCCAATTGGAATGAAATACAAGGTCATTCCACTTAGGAATAATATTTCCAAGTGGACAACCATAACTACTTTGACAAAATGGAACCCCGCATTCCATACATCTTGCTGTTTGAGTACGTAATCCTTTTCTTACAACTTTAAAATTGTAAATTTCGTCCCAATCATCCATTCGCTTCTCAACTGCCCTGTAAGATGCTGTGTGTCTCTTATATTTCATAAATCCTCTAAAAATGTCATATACACAAATTTATTCTTCCTTAATTTTAAATCGCATTAATTGCACAACGCATTTAATTGCTCAATCTTAATCGTTAATTACCTTATTTTATCTAATTTTTTTTGTGCTGCTTCTGTATCTGTAACAACATCTTCAATATCTTTCAATGTGGAATCAGTCTGTGAATTTCCATTAAGGATCGATTGATCTTGTTTGGCTTCTTCTAATTGCTTCAATACTCGCTGGTACTCGTAAGGGAATACCTATTTTTTTTTTATTAAATATGATTAAATTATATAAAATGTTATATACTTTATTTGTGCAATTAGAAAAACTTACCTTAACGAATCTTGTTGTTGGTTCAGGCCATAGAATCAACAAATCCTTAGCAATAAGTGAACCAGTCTTTTCAACAAACTCTTCCAACAACTGTTTTACATGAGCTATATCGTCGGGGTTGTTAAGTGGCAGTAACTCAACCATTTCTGGATTACATTTGCTAAAATATTTATAATATATGTAGAACATATATAAAACATTAAAGAGATTAAAAGAATATTTTCATAGCTAGAATTTACCTTTTAAACGATCCATCAACGTCAAAAACATAGGCTATCCCTCCAGACATTCCAGCAGCGAAATTTCGTCCTGTCAGTCCAAGAATGACAGCACATCCACCAGTCATGTATTCACAACCATGATCACCTACACCTTCGACAACTACTACAGCTCCACTATTACGAACACTAAATCTCTCGGCTGCAATACCTCGGAAATAAGCTTTTCCAGAAGTTGCACCATAAAGACAAACGTTTCCTACTATGACATTAGCTTCAGAATTGAAATTTGATTCCTTTGGTGGGTATATCACGATTTCACCCCCACAAAGACTCTATCATCGAAAAGAAAATAATCAAAATATCAATATGAAACACACATGATAATATAAATATATAATAATTAAATAACACGCGTTGTACCTTTCCTACATAATCGTTAGCATCTCCTTCGAGTGTCACATGAATACCTTTTGTCATGAAAGCACAAAAGCTTTGACCTGCTGAACCTTTCATTTTGATATTAATACTATGCTCTGGCAAACCATCTTCGCCAAATTGTCTGCAATAAATAAAAAGATATGTTTAAAATTTAATATTCATAAATTATATTTATATTTTATTCATAAAAAAATAAATAATTAAGAAACAATTTTACATACTTAGATATTTTGTAACTTAAAGTAGATGCAAATGCTCGACATTCATTGTTAATATTCATTTCAATATCAACGCGTTTTTCTTTCCCATTTAATACTGGTTCAGCCAATCTAATCAATTCGTTATCAAGTCTATTTTCTAATTGAAAGTCTTGCTTAATAGAACCACCACGAATATTCACACCTGGTCTTAATTCCAATGCATTTCGTAAAATATTTACGAAGCTCAATGTTCTCGCTTTATCAATAATTATATCGTCGCGTACTTGAAGAAAATCTGTACGGCCTATTAAATCTTGGAATTTTTTAATGCCAAGACTCGCCATGTGCTGACGAACCTGTTAAAACATGCAAATAAAAAATTCTTCGTAAATAAAAGTAAACAACTTAAAGAAAATAAGTATATTTGTTGTTTCGTAACGAAAAATTTATACCTGTAAGACTTACTCTACAATGTTGAGTGAAACATTGTTTACTGTATCAAGTAGCCTCACCCTTTGTTTCTTTATACTTTTTATAATACATAAAAATATAGTTTAATATTACGATATATGTTATATACAACGTACCTCTTCGGCAAGAGCAAAGAAGAAATTTATCACATGTTCTGGTTTTCCTTCAAATTTTTTCCTAAGTACAGGATCTTGCGTTGCAATACCAACAGGACAAGTATTCAAGTGACATTTTCTCATCATAGTACATCCCATGGCAATCAAAGGAGCTGTACTGAAACCAAATTCATCTGCACCTAGTAATGCTGCAACTACGATATCAAAACCTGTTCGCATCTGTCCGTCAGCTTGAACTACCATACGTGATCGAAGATTATTCAATGTCAAAACTTGATGCGTCTCTGCTACACCCAATTCCCATGGAAGGCCTGCAGATTTAATGCCTGTCCAACTACTAGCACCGGTACCACCATCATGACCAGATATCACTACATGTTCTGCTTTACCCTACACATACACATACACATACATGTATGATATAATTTTACAATAATCACATCAGAAATGATTCTTTATAACTTATACTTGTGTACGAATATTGTACGGTTGTTTATTTAAAGTAATGTACCTTTGCTACACCTGCTGCAACTACACCTACTCCAACTTCTGATACAAGTTTAACAGATATACGAGCATTAGGATTCGCACATTTTAAATCATAGATTAATTCAGCCAAATCTTCTATTGAATAAATATCATGATGAGGAGGTGGTGAAATAAGACCTACACCAGCTACCGAGTGTCTGGTTGCAGCAATATCTGTGGTGACCTAAATAAACAAAAGAATTGAAATAAAAATTAAATATTATTACAAGAGATAAAATCAAAAGTGGCACTTACTTTATAGCCAGGTAATTCTCCACCCTCTCCAGGTTTTGCACCTTGAGCCATTTTAATTTGGAGATCATCGGCATTAGCCAGATAACTTGAAGTTACTCCAAATCTACCGCTGGCTACTTGTTTTATAGCTGAACGTTTGTTAAATTCTAGATCTTGATTAAGATATCTGGTGAACAATAATTTTTTTTTTATATGTAAAGACAAATTTAATAAGATACAAAATAAAATAAAAATATTAACCTATCTGCATTTTCACCACCTTCGCCTGTGTTAGATTTACCTCCGATGCGATTCATAGCTACTGCTAATGTTGTATGAGCTTCTAGTGAGATACTTCCAAAACTCATAGCTCCAGTAGCAAATCGTTTAACAATTTCAGAAGCAGGTTCTACTTCATCTACGTTTATTGGCGTATCTAATGTTTTAAGTACTAATTGACCACGCAATGTACAATTTTGAACCATGTCCATTGATATTTTACGATAATTTTCGTAAGCATTATTGCTTTTAGAAACAACATAATCCTGAAAGAATTACTGTATTATTTATACTGTTTCTATAATAAATGAAAATATAATACTAAATAGAATAGCAATAAATAAATTACAATAAATTTTAATACCACTTACCTGCAAACTAGCGATACTTCCAGGATCATTGATATGTTTTTCTCCACCAGATCGCCAATGATAAATACCCGGATTACGAATTATTAACATATCCATTGGTTTTGTAGAATACGTTATTTGATGCCTTTCAAAAGCTTCTTTCGCTAATATTTCAAATGTTACTCCACCAATACGTGACTGAGTGCCCTAGATACAAATGCATAAGGTTTTTTCAAAAATTTATCTATAATACTTAAAAGCATCATTTCTTTGATCTCGAGTACATCATGTTTTTGATTGAATCATATAACCATCATTAATTGGATCCAGTATATAATCATTTGTAACAGACCATTTTTAGAATGAACATTTTAAAATGTATAGAAAATGAATGTATATATTTTCTTTCCTTAATTATAAGTTTGTACATACCTTGAAACACTTATCTATAACTTCGTCAGCTAATCCTACTGCTTCAAAAATTTGTGCTCCTTTATAAGATTGTAAAGTTGATATTCCCATTTTTGCCATTACTTTTGCTATACCACGTTCCATAGCTTCAGAATAATTCTAAAAGAACATATGCATTTCATTTTATTCAAAAAAATACATGATTTTTCTTTGATCATCTTTGATTTATAAGTTTCTATGTATGTTACCTTGTATACGACTTCATCAGTAAATGTATAATCAAAAACTCCATCCGCCCTTAAATTTTTTGACATTTCAAATACAAGATATGGACAAATAGCATCTGCACCATAACCAAGTAATACGCATATATGATGTACTTCTCTAGCTTCAGCAGTTTCCAAGATGAGACCAACTTTCATTCGTTGTCTCTCTTCAATCAAAAAGTGATGTACTGCTCCTAATACTAATAGACTGCTAACAGGAACTCTACATAATCAACAATTATTGAAATTATTGAATGTAAAGAATGACAATTACTTATCATGATTTAAATCAATGCTATGAAATTTTACCTTTCTGGACCACCTTGGCGATCAGATAGAACAATTAATTGATAGCCACCTCTAGCAGTTTCGTTAGCTTCGTCACATACACGGTTAAGAGTCTTTACCAAACCAGGAGGTCCATCTTCAACAGGATAAGTAGCATCAATAACCTTAGTTTTCCATCCACGGTGTTTGGTTTGCTTAAGAACTTCAAGATCATCGAGAGATAAAATTGGCTGTTCTAAGAACAATCTATGTACTTGAAGCTCGCTTGGTTCTAAAATATTGCTTACAGGACCGATTGGACAAAGCATCGACATGACAATCTTTTCTCTGAATGGATCAATTGGAGGATTTGTCACCTAATATGAAAAAAAAAAAGATTAAATAAATATTTTCTATAAAATGAACAAAAATAAAAATATTAAACATAACATTTTTAAAATACCTGTGCAAATAATTGTTTAAAGTATTCGTATGGTAAAGGTTGAAATTGTGACAAACACGCAAGTGGTGCATCATTACCCATGGAGCCAAGGGCTTCTTTTCTATAAAATGATAAATAATAAAGTATTTAATATATTAAATGATAATATATAATAGAATAAGAAAAATATATTACATACTTAGATTGTACCATTGGAAGTAACAATAAATTGATGGTCTCCAACGTATATCCGTATAAAGACAATCTTTTATCGCCACCCCAGACACGATTGACAGCCGAAATTTCATTAAGACCATTGATAGCATTGTTTTTCTGGACATCAGAATTGTATCCATTTTCAACCATATTCAATGTACCACTATTAGCGGCATGAGCAGCACGTAATTCATCCATCGTTATCTGTTTTTAAGAAAGCTTCAATGTTACCAAATGTAACTTATACAAACTTATAACAGAAAAGCAAAACTAATTATTAATAAGCACAATATCTCACACAAATAAATAAACGATAAAATTATATATATTGTATTTACAATATTTTCTCCAGTACTTTTGTGATGATATAGCAATGATGAGAAATAGCAACGATAATATTAAAAAGCATACTATTATAATGGAAATGTATAGATTTAAACTTTTACTTTAAAATGAATAAATAATAAATTCAAGTATGTGTACTTTTTTTTAATCTAAATAAAAGAAATACTAAAAATAAGAAATATTTAAAACACCATTTGGTCTATCTAATAAGAATTAACAAAGTTGTCTAACTTTTATACTACATAGTGAAAATAAAAGATAAGAGCAAATCCCAATCCTATTGAAATATCAAAAATATAAATGAGCCACAGAAAAAACACTAAGATATAAGCTTAATACTAAAAACTTCTAGGGATACCAATATACTGCTTCCTAATGTAATATTTATACACATATGTAAGTAATATTGAAAAAATATCTAATACTTCCATAAACTAGCAATATGATTTAAGCTCACAACACCTCTCTTTAATGTTACGACTCACCCTCTGCACACAACACGATGGATGTCAGCACATAGGAAAATTGAAAAAGATTATTTGGTATTAGTATATCCTCTATTTAAAAGAACACTTTCCTCTTCGTGACTTAAATCACACCCAATAATTATATGTTATCAAAATTGTGCCGAGGCACATATTTAGTAGAACTTTTTATATAATAATAATTAGCTTTGTTATATAAGTGTGCATCCCATTGATCGTTATGGCACATGAATATGATTTGACATAACAATATATACAATGAAGTTATCATTTAACACAAAGCGATGTTACAAAAACAATGAAGAATATAATATATATCGTTAAAAAAAGATAGAAATAAAAAACAAAAGCATAACAATTACCTGTTCTTTAAGCCACTTAGAATGGGGCCTGCTTCTCGCAATGTGTTGTTTTAGTTCAACATCTTGTATAATCTTCTTTTCTTCAGTGTCAACAAGGAGCATTCTGCCAGGCTTCAAACGACTCTGTAAATAAAACAAAGCATGAATAATCATCTTCAATTAAACTTTACAAATGATCGGCATTTATGACAGCACTGGATGACGGTCCTACTGCTTTATACATACCTAGTCCCTAAATGACAAATTATACATCATAAATATGACATGAGAAAAAATAAATAAAACATAGCATGTGATTTGCCATTACGCATACAATAAAATACAATAGCATAAAAACATATGTATGTTAGACGGTGTCATTCTATCCTTACCGAACAGATGAAACAACTAATATACTTTTGTTTAACATTCTACTGATGCAACCTCGAAGAATGAAAACAGATATAACAATTATATTGCGAACATTCTTTTTCTGTTTTGTTTAAATTCTTTATCTATCCCTCAAAGATAACTTCACCCTCGTGGAACGCGCGATTCTCTTTTTTCAATGATTCTATTCTCACGACTTCATAATTATTATCTCTGATCAAAATTAATTCGATTATTCGAGTATGTGACAAGAAACAAGTATATACTAAAAATGTATAATAAAAAAGAATGAAAACTAAGACGTATATATGATATAAAGAATACTTTTAACTATAAATATATATACATATAAGGAAAAAAAAAAGAAAAAGAGAAAAAAATGATAAGTCGTGGGAAAGGAATCACTAACGTGAGTAATGTTAAATGGGAGCAATGCGAATAATGGCAAAAAATTAATTATGTATGATAAATGAACATGTATGTATGTACGAAGCAAGAGTTTTTTGTAGAATGGTTTCAGCTTTATATTGCTTAGCTATAAATGCATCTTAACGCAATCCTCAAGTAGCGTTCATCTTCTGATTTTTGTCATCTTGAACGAGATAGCAGAAGAAGATACTCGACCAGCTGTGGTTCAATCGAGGAAAACAGTAGGTGGTGTCCTTCCTTGTAAAAAGATTTGTCCCTAGAGCTAAAATTCCTCTATATTTGAATAATATAGAGAGGAATAGAGAGAGAAAAAGATGGCATAGAGACGAAGATGACGACGACGAAGGCGACGACGAAGATAGACGAAGGGAGTTATATACGCTTAAATAATTAGCACTATTAGAAGAGCTAATTCTGCTGAAAAATTCCCACAGAGAGAGAGAGAGAGAGAGAGAGAGCCGTTGTTTCCTTTAATTCCTTGATTACCTTCAGGGTTATATTGCTGGGCGGTGTGTCATAAACGCCCACTTCGGACGCCATCACCATCACGTTATCCTTAGTGACGTAGAAGCGCGAGGGGCGCAGGCCATTTCTGCCAAACAAAAATTCAAAAAAGTCTTTTTTATTATCACCTCTGTGTCGCAAACTAGTATCTGCTGTCTATATTGTTGTTTGTTCGCTTGCCTTCCTGCCGGCATTCGTATATAAGTAGTTCTGTACACGCACACACCTAATCCGGTTTTACCTTCATTTAATTAGGCACCCCACACATATACACAGTTGGATACAATACGATATATGTAAGTATCGTAATAAACACAACACCGATTTTATACTCCAGGCTCTGTATATGACGCCGCGCAGTGTAACGAAATGCCACATTGCTAGACACCCAAGAACCGCAGAGGGAAGCGAGCGATAATACGATATATACTTTATTTTGTATGTAATCAAACTACAATATGAAGCTGAGAAGTCTATGATATAATAAGTGCAAAACGCGGAAAACACAAATGTTACATCGCAATTAGATTTTTATATATCCTTACTTTTTAATATTAATTTCTACCATAAATCTGTTTATGCCTGTCTTCCCTCTACACTACCAATCCATGTTTACCTTTAAACGATTTCTCTGCTTCTTTTTTATATATATTATTTTATTTAAATATATATTATATATTCGTACTATTATACTCGTTAGCCATTCTCATGACACCGTATAATTCATTGAAGAATTCTTATTTTTAACTCTAACATGCTGATGACAGATACATCATGTCTTTATACCACACGTTTTGTCCATACAAGTAGAATTAATATTGCTATATGTATATGTCCATATTATAAAGTAACATAGATATAAAAATAATTTCTTTTTATAGATTTTGTTGTTGTTTCTACATCAATTTTTTCCTCGCAAATAACATTATAAATTTAGCAGTATTATAATAACTACTCGTGATAATAATCAGATCTCATGAAAAAGATTGAAAGCTAAGATAAAATGTAGTACAAGTTTTCTACCTGTCCAAGATAGCGCCAACGTAACGACCATCGGTGAATGTCAGTAAAGCTGGACCATCCCATGGTTCCATAGAACACGCGGCCCAATGATAAAAGTCTCTTTTCTCCGTGGCCATTGTAAGATCATTTTGCCAAGCCTCCGGTACCATAGTCATGACCGCCTATGTATTAAATTTTATATGTACTACATTCTATAAAACTGTTTCATTTAATTTACAATTCAAAAGAAATTATCGAATTTATTCTCCCAACTATAATAAAAACAATTAATCTATTGATGTACAATAAAAAATAGACTGTGATTTAATGGCTCATTATATTTATAATCAGTATTTCAAATAAATGGTTAGCATGACTAAATAAATACAAGTTTAAAAATTAATATAGTATAGATAATGATGGCAATACCTCAGGCAATGAACGTTGTCCCGCCATTACTAAGAATTCAAGTACGCAATCGGCTGCACCAGAATCCGAAAGATTTGGTTCTACGACCGGATAAAGATCTTTCAGTTGATTACCATAAATTTTACTGCTCATAACACCTTCTCGAGCTTTCATAAGATTAACATTTCCTCGCAAAGTATTGATTTCACCGTTATGAGCAAGTAATCTATGAGATTAAGAAAATATGATATAATTTATTAATAATAAATCAAATAATAACATGATATTTATTTAGACAGCTATTTCTTATAATAGATAATATTGTTATCAAGAGCTAATAATACTTGTTATTTACCGCAATGGGTGTGCCCTTTCCCAACTAGGGAATGTATTCGTGGAAAATCTTGTATGAACTAATGCCAAAAATGTCTCGAATTTTTGTGACTATAACAAACAAAATTTTTTAATATTTTACTGAAAAATTCTTATATATATATATAGGGTTAACATATGCACATGGAAGTAGTATTATACGTAGTCATTGTGCATCGAAACATTAGAAGTCTTATCGGACTTTATCTAAATCTTCTGTATATATGTGATGTATAATTGAGATTAATATTTACTTTGAAATCCTCGAAGTATGACCATAACTGATCCGCTGTAAGTTGACCTTTATAGACAACAGTTTTTAAAGAGAGCGAACAGATATAATATCTTAATCCAGGTTTAGGTATTGTATGAGATGATCTCTTTCTCAATACAAAAATCTAAAAAAGAGATTAATCAAGGATACATTGTAAAATCAAATATTACAATTTGCGTGGAAAGAAATTTAAACAAGTTTAGTGTAAAAATTTCTCTCATTTAATTTCTATTATCACGATATGCCAAAATCTAATAATACCTGACGTTTAAGAATTTCTTTATCTTCTTGATCACCCGTAACAAATACTTGTCGCATATAAGGTTCACATTTTTTTGCAACTTGGCCAATTTGCGTATTATCTGTTGGAACATCGCGCCAACAAATTACCTGTAAAAAAATGATTATGTTCAAACAACATTACTGTAAATTAACATTATTATAATAATATAATATAACATATATTTAACAAATGCAGCTACAATTATTATTACTACAAGGATAATAAAAATCATACTCTTAGACTACATTCTTCAGCCAATTTTTCAAATGCAGCTTCAGTTTCCTTATGGGTATTCTTGTCAAGGAAAAGTATGCCAGTAGCGTAACGTCCGAGACTAGGCAGCTCAATATTCTGTTTCTCGCTAAAAAAAATAAATTCCATAAGAACTTACATCGATTAATTAAAATTATTGAATAAATACAACCTCATTATATGCTATCGGTAATATCATTATAATGCATAATATATATATATATAAATGCTGGAGTACTTAGCATTCAATTTATATACATGTTACCAGCATAGTGGGAAATCCGGCAATGCTAGCAATACCCCCCCCCCCGGTATTGTTCTCAATGCAAAGCGCCTTTTGACAAAGTCGGAAACAGAAGAATTTTTACGAACTTTTTCTAAGCATTGAACATAATACTTAGGCATTTTATAGAATATCAAATGCAACTTAAGAGGCAATATTGAAAAGAATACATTATCGGGCAATAGGCATACACAGCATACGCTGTACATGAATACATTTTCGACATTGTCAAAAGGCACTTTGCATTGAGGACAATGCCGGGGTATTGCTAGCATTGCCAAATTTCCCACTATGACGGTAACATATATAATACATATACATATGTAACATATTATACGATTCATATAATTGATCGCTCGTATACGATTACGTAGAGAATTAGTTAGTTCCAATGAATTGTGCACGATTATAATCAACAAGCACGGAACTCTCAAATTAGACTCAACTTTCAGACTTATTACTCAGAGTTATACAATTTAATACTTATATATATATCAGTTTTATTGATCACAGCTAAATCTATAATTAATGATAAGGAATAGATAATAAAACTTCTATTTGTTATATATATTAAAAAAAATATTCTATTTGTATATTTGCACTGTCATGGCTAAAACGATAACACACTCGAATACGTATTATTATATATGTTGAATTTTCTGATAAAATCCGTAGTTAACAAATATTAAGAATATCTATTGCGAAAATTTTTGATAATCATAAAGAAAAGGATATATATATATATATTCTTTTTAGTATTGATAAAGAAATCCCCCACACAAATATTATCATTGTATGACGTACTACACAATCAATTTGTTTTATCTTTCAAAATTAAGGGAAGAACCGTCGAAAGTAGGAAGTATTTCCTCTAATATTTGGAAATATTCTTACCGAATCTCGTCAGCATAATATTCATGTGGTATTGCACAAAGTACACCGGCACCATCACCGGTATCATTATCGCAAGCACATGCACCTCTGTGATTCATCCGTGCGGAAAGTATCTGAGCATCGCGAATAATCTGAAATATTGATTCTTATCATTAGTAACAGTTAACGTAACCTATAGAAATTACGAATTTGTACTTCAAGAGCATATCATGGAAATCCCAAAAAAAAAGAACTTTCACATTTTTGTTTTTATTACCAGTAAAATTAAATGATAAAAAAAAATAATCTTATGAGATTTATTTGAGAACAATTTTATAATACATACTTATATCTACTAAACATTGATTATTTTATACGCTTCTGAAACATGAGCCAAACTTTGGGGAAAATTTTCTACATATATTAAATATCATTTATTATTCAAATATTATAATATTGTACCTTATGAGATCTTTTGCCATCGATAGCGACGATAAATCCAACGCCGCAAGCTTCTTTTTCAAGTATTGGGTCATACAGACCTTGTTTAGGAGGAAGAGACCAATAATCCCCAGAACTCATGTTTTCAATCTAAACAAAAAAGCAAGATAAAAAGAATTAAGAACAATTGTATCGATATTTAATCTATATCATATACATATATCCTTCCTTGAATAAATATCAAGAAGACATTCAATGGAATTACATATGTATGAAATATTCAAAACGTGTGATTCTATTTGAAAATTTCCAAACGTTACCACAAATTCGAACGTGACCTGAATATTGTAGGTGAAAAAAAACATAACAAATAAGATAACAGAGAAATTCCAAAGTTATTCCTGTAGTATTCACGAAATAACTTTATTGTATCTTTTGATATTTCTTGTGTAACAACACCCACACTCACCCATAATGTCGCTAGTGAGAAATAATGAATAGCTTACTTATATAAAGTTATAAAAATGAATTTTTTGATGAATCTATAAATGAGAGGGTGTCTCGAAAATGAGTTTTCTCAAGTTATTCTGGTTCAATGAACGACGAATTTAATGCATTTCACTTTCTAAAGTGACAAAACGCATACATACATATTCTATATACGATAAGTTTGATCAATCGCTTTGAAAGTAATCTCGACTCTTTTGCTTCATGCACGAGGAGTTTCGGTCGCATTTAATCATGCACCGGGCAAATACATAGTTACGTCACATGATGCGAAAAGCCAAATAGCCTAGAGATCAATAAATCTCACGCCCACGCGTTCGTTCAAGCGCAGAGTCAGAACCCTGACGATGAAAACAAGAATCATTTTCTCGAGTTAGAGATTATCGAACCGATATAAAAATAAAATCAATATTATTTTAAGACATTGTTGATCAATTATCATATATAAAAGATAATGCGTTTCACATCTCAAAAATGTTTATAGATAAATTAAATTCGTTATTGAAATATTATTTTCAGAACGTTAATATTAAAATGAATTAAACACATTATCCTACATAAAATAAGCAATACTATGGAAACACACACACACACACAAATCAAACAATTAAATACTTAAATAAAAAATTAAATATTTATAAAAAAGAAAAAACTACATAGTAATAACCTGAATCGACATCAAATTGCAATGCCGGAAGGAAAATATTTATTGAAAAGAGATAGAGGAAGAGAGAAGCCAAAAATGATTGGATTTGCAATCGGCTTCGTTTCAAACTAAACCAATAAAGAAAAGAACATTTTATACTTGATACATGGTTCGACCTTCGTCGATCGGATTGATGAAAAAAAGTAATAAAAAAGAAAAAAAAGGTAAATAAGAAGAAAGACGTAACGACGTATGTCTTGTATTTCAAAACCGCATGGGGTCACGTGGTATAGTTTTAAATTGCGCACATTTACAGCCTTCTCCCATACGAATCGATTAACGCGTATCGAATGTCACATTTTACACACAAGCAATAATCACGTTTTCTCAATATATAATCACTACACATACATATATTGAAAATTACGATAGGATCAAGTATTTGACGCAAGGAACATGCGATAAACTAATCGATTAGAATAGAAAAATATCAATGAACTCTCTTACGCGTGGTTACTATTTTTACCGAACGATATCTGCGTAATTTCACGTAATTACTTATGTCAAAAGGTTATTGATGTATATGTACGAATGTATGTATATTTGTATGTATGTATGTACATATGTACAGGAAGCTCAAAGTACGACGCCATCAGTGCTGCATCTGTAAGAGATAACGTATCGTCAATTTATTCTAACTACGTCTCGAATTTGTCTAATTCAATTTTTTTAAATTTATTTTTCGTTTTTTGTTTCTTAAATATTTATATGTCATTGTTGATTTTCCTTATTAACCCTTTATAATGCCATAGAAATTAACGTCACACTTGTTACTTTATATTATATTTAAACATTCTTATATTATTGAAATTCTACTTAAATAGCATAATTTTACTAATATAAATAAATACCATAATTCACATTATATAATTTTTGTAAAAGTACGATAAAAGGATAGAATTATAAAGATTAACCTAGAAATCGCACGAAATTTTGTATCGCTATGTAGTATTCCGTTGAAAGCTTTTTGTTAATAAAATATATCGTTCGTTTGATTGAAAATTTATAGCTTTGATAAGTTACAATTTCTCAAATATCATTGTTCAATTATACGGTCATTATAAGTCAGATCTGAAATGCTGATTTGTTATATCGGTTCTAGGTCAGACACGCTCATTGACTTTGCGAACATGTAAAGAGAAGAAAACACGTAAAGAACTCGTCTCGGCTTACTTTTAATAACAATTTTCCTCTTTGTCATTGTCGATGTTCATAGCCATCATTGTTACGTTACATATTTGATAAGCTCTTTGCCATCACTCCTTCTACTCTTTTTCTTTTTTATATAACAATCGTTATCGATATAATTTTCTAAAGATTTCTCGATTACTATTATAAAAATTACATATAAAATTACTTTTATCATTATTATTATTATTATTTTTTTTTATTTTTATTTTTATTGCAACGTAATTAAAGAAAAACAAAATCTATAAGATTTCAAATTGAAATTCGAGTTGAGTAATAAAATTATCGAATGCATTTGAATCGATTCAAAAAACCTTCGATGTTATTGCTATCTTCACGACGATTACAATCAAAAAATCTTTCCAATCCATTTCGTGAGACAATCACATAACTATTACGCATTAATAACTATATAAATAAAAAAAGTTATATATTCCTCGACAATGGAAATAAATAAATATATGTTCGTCCCAAACGATGCTTGATATAAAAATATACGTACAAAAAGAGGAAGCCTCTTCCTCCTCTTCCTCCCACCACCTTCTTCTTTAATTTGCTTCTCTTCCAGACGGTTACTTTAAATTCATGAAATAAAATCATGTCCTCGCGACAAATAACATAAATAAAAATTTCTATAGAATACTAAATTATCGTCTTCCTTTATCTCTAACTGAAAAAACTCACCTCGGAAGAAAAAAAATACTGCGTTGAAGGTACCGGAACGAAGTCCCTAAATGAATTATTCTTCTAATAGCACTTTTTTTCCTTGAAAAAAATCACGTTTGTCTGTCAATAGGGGACGACACCGACCTCCCGGGACAATCGAATTCTTTTGAATTTTGAGCTTATATTAACTTAAATTTGTATTATGTCAATAAAGACGAAGAAACAAAATGGAGAAAAATCTTTCGAAGATTCCTTAGACGTTTTAGTTAGTCACGAGATAAAGAGAGAATAGGAACGAGTTATTATAGTTAATGGAGAATCGTTCTTCTTATTCCTTTTCTCGGTAAGGCGGCAGACCCTCGACCGTTAATAGAACTGGCGAAGAAGGAACTCGTAAAATAGACCGGCAGCAAAGGCGGGAGTTCACCACGTTGAAGAAATAGAAAGATAAACGCGGAGCTTAAGGTGATCCGGAGGAGGTTAGGTACTACTGTCCAGCTCTTCGAAGTACCACTACTTCTACAGTTTCGCCTCCCCACCACTGTACCGCTTCTTCCCACTATTGGGCTTTCTCCTACCACGCTACTCATCCTCCCCACCACACTGCCATTTACGTCTTCGACGAATACCTTTTATTTCACGTTAACGACTCGTGTAAGATAATTTGTTTATAAAATGTTTTTATTTTTCTTTCCTCTTTTTCTTGTATATTTATCGGACGTATCGAATTTATTCTCGATTATTTAGTTCAAAGCATCATAATTAATCTGACTAATGATCTTTTATTTAATTCGTCATTTAGGAATTTGTCATTATTAATGGCTTATCAATTTTACAAATTATATAACTTTTACCATTTTTTTTCATTCTTCCTTATTATGAATTTCAGAATATTAAGAATCTGTCAGTGATTCTAATTAAAATCTCTCTAGGAATAATTTACTGGAGGATGTTGGAGACGATATTCTGATTATACAATGTTCACTAATCAGAATGCTAATTTAATTAAATTGATTAGTATCATCAATTGGGATTCTCTGTTAATAAAACTATGCCTAAAGCAACGAATTTGTAAAGAATTCATTTTTTTAAGAGAACAGATGGATAAAAAAAGAGAGAATTTAGAAATTATGATTAGGATTCTAATTAAAGATAATATTATACTTATTGTCAGTAAAACTAAGATCGTGGACTTAAACATACCAAGTTTTGAATAGAAGAAAGATAAATCAAATATTATTATGTATAATAAAAAGCATACATAAATTCGATATACCAGTTTATTTCTAACAATCGATAGAAGGAAAACAAAAGAGAATGAAAATGAATAGGTGTTTACAAAACATCAAACTTGATATGAAAGAGCAACGTACAGGTGAATAAAAATGATTCTCAAGAAACAAGGACAAACGTGAATATCTGCAGATTTAATAATTCCGTTCCCGAAGTACAAAGACGTATGCCCGTAAGTAAATATATGCATATATGTGCGTTACGATCGCATTTCGAAATTACTCGAATAAGATTTCTATTTTAATGACGGCGCTTACGTTCGCAAGAAAACGAACCAATTCGTATTTGTATTAATCCAATATATTTCAGATTCTTAATAAATTACTGAATAAACATTTAGAATAATTTTTATCAATTATATATCAATTATACTACCGCGTTAATATACACGTACGATAATGCATGAATGAAATATAATCTTGTTTAATTTACTTAAAAGTAAAGACTATATTTGTCAAAAAACGATTTAGAAAATATAAATCTCTAAAAATAATATCTAAAAATAGAAAAATTCAAAAGGATTGTGTAAGTTCCTTGTAAAAAATTCTTAAATTATATCTATATCTAAAAAATTCGACTTGCATTAGGAAAGTAGTCTAGCTTCTAAAATATTAGAATGAACAGTGGAATCTTATCGTTGCCAATTTACGAGCGGCATTTTGCCAATGTATTAGCAGGTATCTATAAGAAATCTAATATTCTTGCTACGCAATAATATTTGATTTACATTTCCTCGATTAATCAAGTTCCTTCAACGTCGAAAAAAATATATCTTCTAATATCTATTCTAAAAAAACATCAATAGTACGATGTTTATTATGTTCGATTTTTTATCGTCCTAAGGTCAAATCATTGAATGAATGATTTTCTGAGGAATATCTTCTTATATTAGTCGATATTATGAAAAAATCTTATCAACAAAAATTATGATAGTTCACTGTGACGTACGTATAGAATATATCTCCCTATTAATCTCCACGTAGATTTCTATTTTTTCTCTTTTGACAATAATAAATTGAATGAATAAATTTTTTACGTATGATTCATCTATTTTCATATTCAATATATAGCATATTTATAACTAACATTACAAAGTCTATATGCATATCATGTAACTATCTTTTTTAAGTTCAATCTTTCCTGAAATATAGAATAAATTTACGCTCTATCTCCCTCTCGTTCCAGGGTAATCTGTAATATGTTATACGTTATACGTTAAGCCTGATCGAACATAAATACATCGAACATATGTTTTTTATTAAAAAAAAATTGTGAAATAATGTTTGAATCGTGCTGATAAAAAATGTGTATGGATAAAATAAGTAGATAAAAATATATGAAATGTATGCATGACTCTTCTATATATATCCACTATGACTATTCTATATATCCTTATATAAGTCCTATATGAAGAAGAGATAATAGGTAATTATAAAATAAGAAATATATATAATATTTTGTGGGTACCTCTATTAAACCTACTGATAACTAACTAATTAAAAAGTTTGTAACATACATATATATTCGTTTCATCACAATGACACAAATTGCGAGCAATGCGCAAAGAACCATTTGTAAAATAAAGATATAAAAGTAATTAGTGGCGAGCTACATTATGAAAGAATTATGTACACGGTTTAAATGTTTCCTGATAACAAAACTCCTTACATCATTCTCTACTACTAGACATACTGCAATTATTTTGTTCGTTTCATAAAGCTTAATACTATTTCCAACGATCATTATTTTTATACTCTTAATTTCCTTCTCATAGAAATTCTTTATTACTGCTTATTATGTGTGTGTTTCTTTACTTCAATAAAATTGTCAAAAGTTGTATCTCTACATAATAATTTTCTCGGAAATACCATGCTCTAAGGCTTTTGTCTTCATACATTCTTATCAAACAAATGCGATCGCAAATGCGTTAGCAGACGGCGTGATTCGCACATATGAGCTTTCAAACGCTGACAATTCATCTTGATTATTTTTATCTCCGAATAATTCTACATATCGCTTTTATTAAAAAGATACGTTCCTTCAACGAATTTTGAAACTCTTAAAAAAATATACATCTATTGGCTTGACTAATAACCAATGTAATCATTTTCAGTATAAATATATGGTTTTAAACAATACCATTTATTTAGATATACGATATAGCCAATTTCAACATTACTTACAGACTAACTCAATGCCATACTATTACATATTATTATATTATTGACGAAATTACAAAATACTGTGATATTATTTATTAGTCAGTCAATATCATATTTTATTTACTTATGTCGCTTATCACATATTCAATAATTTTAGTTTCCTAATTAAAAATAAGCTACAAACTAGTGAACAAATTTATTATGTGACTTGGTGCAGTTGTAAAGTATACTTTTACTTTGTTTTTCTTTCTTTTTTTTAAAAATAGGATTACAACGCACCTGTCAGTGACACCGCGGTTTCACGTGTTCACCGCATGTCTTCTATTTGCGATTTAAACTACTTACTTCGTAACGTTGTTTATTCTGTTTGTCTGTCTGTCTTTCATCGACCACGCCCATATTTCATTCTACTAACAGGAAGAACAATGGGGAAAGAGGTTCGATCGATTTCGATAATACTCCCAAAGCTATTATTATATTGATAATGATCATTATACAATTAAAAAGAGAAAAAGAATGGGAGAGGAGGAAGATTATATACATGTGGGTATTCCATTAACTCGTTGATTATCATAAGAGAATATACACTTCTATCAGTAGAACTTATCTATATTGTAAGTATTTATATATTATTCAACGAACTGTACTCGTTTTACCTTAAACTATATACTAAACTATATATTTTTTATCTCTATATAAATCATCAGTATATATACATATCATTTTAATTTGCTACGTATTCCTGTGAATGTATTCATTATCATTTATTAAATATTGATCATACACAAAATGAATATAAAATTATATATGCATGTATATATACTGTACTTTTTTAAACAAATTGAAAGTAGTTTAAATTATATGATCGAATTATAACACTAATATTAGTAAAGATACACCTTTTTCATAAGTCGTTAGCATGTGTTGTTACTTGATTTATTATATAAATTATTTTAATGTTTCGTCTAATCGCATCTATTAGAGTCGATATAAATAATGTATGAAACGTTTTTGACATATAAGGTTTAATAATAAATAGTCCAGTTCCTATTTTATTTCAATTCATAAGAAAATAAGTATTTTTTACACTTATTTGCTTTAATTATATATTTATATATTCTTTTTTTCAATTACTATCGTTATTTTTTCTTTTTTTTTAATATTGTAAAATCGTTAAAAATTTTCTAAAATTATATATAACAGCATATTTCGAGGACGTTTTAATGAACAAAAAGATCTCTACAATGCTGAGTATGCGATTCTATGAAGCGAATTCTTTTCTATATACGATTATCGATTACTCTCGTACTTCGAATAACATACCTATATATAAACATACATAGATACATACACATATAGATGCATATACACGCAGCATAAGAAAAGTACGTATTAGAATCATGAAATGTTAAAAGACGCTTGGAACTTCCAATTATAATTTACCTTCAAGAAGAAATTTCATAAACATGAAGATAAAAACTTGTTACCATTATTATTATACTTTTAGTTTTATCTTAACGTATATCGATATTCAAATATATACGTTTGACTAATGGTATGAATATATCACTTTTGTACGTAATAAAAAAACATTCAATAATCGAAATTAGCGTCAATTTGATAATCGAAACATACCGTTAAAATCGATAATCATTTATATCTTTATACAGAAAATAAACTAACGATAAATATTAATAATGAAAGATCAAAAAGAAATTTACCTGAATCGTCGAGAATTTGTATGGAAAATTCTAAGGAAGTTTAGCAGATTTAAAATAGTTTTCTTGGACGATGTTGAACGGTTTACACGGTCTTTTCTTTTACGATCGATCGTTCTTACCGGCTTCGCGTTCTTTCTCCTTCCACCTTAATGTTCCCCCTTTTCCACTTCACCGGCGCCACTTCTATTTCTCCCTTTCACCCTCTTGCTCAATCTTTCACTATAAAGCAAGCTTAAATTTTCGAAAAACGTTATCTAAACAGGAAATCTAATTGATAAATGACCGGTCTTTTTCTTCTTTGATTCCCGGATAAATATTACTTCTGATTTAGGTTACGTCTT